AAAAAATGACTCTTCATGTTTTCTGATGCTCAGTGATGCCACGTCCGGATCTTTTAAAGGAAGATAGGAAGATTTCTTATTAATAAATGTTATGTATAGCAAGTAGATAGAAAAGACTACTTTTATATACTTTTAACAAAAGCAGTGGGTTAGTGGGCCATATAAAAGCAATAGTATATCATATCAGACAACATTCATATAGGAGTATAGTGTACAGTAACATTTTAAAACAAAAGTTCATCCTCACATGTAGGACACATTTTACCAAAACAAAAAGATAACTGTGTCATAGTAATACCTTGCATTTATAAGCTCTTCTTAGAATGATGTCATCACTTATTAATATGTTAAATAATCTTACTGGAGATTCAATGTGGACACAATTTATATTATGTAGGTTATGATACACTCACACATGTGTGGACACACACACACACACACACGTACATCATTTTATCCTAACTGTACATTGATGCTGCAACAGAGGTGCAATTACCTCCATTTTACAGGTGAGGAAAACATTGCTCTTGATAGATGAATGACTTTCTAATAAACTGGCAGACAACTAAAACCCCATGCTTTCAAACCACAACTAGAAAGAGGGCCGATCTACTCAACAAGAATGAGGGGGAACTCACTATGTCAGGAAACACATCAATGAAGTCTTAGAAGTTATTCAAAGCCAGAAATGTGGACTCTTCCTAGTCTATCATAAGGTATCAGTTAGAAATAAAATGATGAGGAACATTCATACAGGACTTAAAATTTAAAGAATAATTTGTTTGTAAATACCAAATGAGAAGATGCGACATCTTATCCAGTAATAAGAGTTCAATGGTATAACTAGCATTAATAGTCAGGTTATTTCTATACACTAATCCAAAAGATTTCCTTCTTGAAGGCAGCCTCCCTAAAACTCAGTCAGTAACTGAAACCTTCTAGGCTCAGGAAGTCAGAGGACTCACAAGGCAACTCCCAATAGTTTAAAAGCAGCAGCACTTTCTGGAGACACATGACTCTCTAATCAGCTGAGCAGTCTGTAAGTTCGGCAGGAAGCTTCAGGGATGCAGCTTTTGTGACTCATTGCCCATTTAGGATGGGCCTTTTGGTAATACAGCTGTCTTTATGTTAGCTATGTTCTAGTAAGTATCACATCATACCACAACTTATCCCATAACTCAATGACTTCCTTAGCTACACTTGAATTAAACCATTTCTTTGGTCAGTCATTGGTGCCCTAGCTGGGGCAAAGAGACATTTGTCTGCACCTCCCCAGGAAAAGACACATAGCACATGCTAAATCACTTTGGCAATTACATGGACACCCTTTATAGGTTTGATGAACTGAGATAGTAGTTCACTCTCTCTTCTTTTTTTTGAAACTGTTTTACCCAAATTCACCCCCCCCCAAGAAAAAAACTGCTAAGAAGGGAACGGTCAACTATGGCAAGTCCTGGCTAAAGGATTGGGTTGAAGGGCAGTTGAGTTATTTGTGATGGCCCCTGGCTAGCCATAGCGGGAGAGCCAAAGTTAGCCAAAGTTCATTTGGAGTTTACTCTGGAATTCTTCTAGAGGGCACTACAGAGTACTTCCTATGACTGGGTTGTGCAAATGTTAGCCATGGATACTCATAAAGGCTACAGGACATGAGTCTACTGTTAAAGAAAAAGCTTGGCTGGAAAATTAAGCGAATCCACAGAAGTGGGAGTAGAGTGTGACCAGGAAAGGCGGTGAAAAGATGAAAGAGGTGGGAGGTGAAAGCAAAAAGAGGATGACAAGAAGTGGGGGAAGGGAGGAGAAAAAAGAAAGGCAGGGAGAAGACATTTAAAAGGAAAAAAAGGGAGAATGCCCTTCATAGGAGCTGGGTCTGAGTCTCGGTGCCCACAGGGCAGCTAAAACCATCTGTAAGTCTGGCTGTAGAGAATCCAATGCCCTCTTCTGGCTTGTGGTTTCTGTGGGCCATGTGAGCCACATGGTCCACAAACACTCAGGCAAATACCCATTTACATAAAAAATACTTTTTCTTGAGAGAGAGAGAAAAAAAAAGAAAGAAAAAAAAGCAGAGAAAAGAGTGGTCCAGAGATGCATGCTCAACCTGCTGACTACCAGCAGAGTTCTGCACCTGAGCTTTTCATAGGCAAGTTCCTCTCCCGTGATTCTGTGGCCAGAGTGTCTAAAACCTCTAAAGACCTATCATTTTTCTCAAGGTATTTGGAGAAGGGTCTTTATGACCCACAATTATCAACTCAAAATTACACAGAAAGAAAATGTTCGTTGCTCTAGAAAGCTAGGTTTGCATTCCCATGTCCATGTCATCGACAGTGATGCAACAGGTCAAGTCAGAAAATTTTTTTTGTTTTTCTATTTTTCTATTTTATATAATTAATAAAACAGTGCATGTATAAAAATTCACAGAAAGTTGCTAAAGAGCATACAATTTCCAAAAATGTCCTGGGTTTGTGTTACATTCAATTTTCTAAGAGTGCACTCAAAATCAATGGTATCAGGAAGACATGATGTGGGATCTCATTCTTTTTGGTAAAACTGTCCTCATTGTTTACTCCTCACAGTAGGAACTCTAAAACCCACTTTGTGCAGGGTCTGCTCATGCGGGGTTGTCAGACATTAAGGCTGGATCTACAAGAGGCAAGGCAAGTCAGAAAATATACACAGGTGCACCAACATGAAAAGGCTATGCTCCCCCAGAATGTGGACAATAGCCTTCTCCTGTGAAATAAACACTACAATGCAAGCAAGAGAATTTATAGCATGAGGCAAAACACCAGAAATAAGCTGTTATCTGTTGTTTTGAAACTGTTCATTTTCAGACATCATGCTTTTGTTTTACTTATGAATTGTGCCTAGCTTTGAGCAAACAGACAACACTGTGCAAACACATCTGATCAATGACTCCACTCTTCGAAGCAGCCTGGTCATCATTTGCTGAGAGGCATAACAGGCCAGTCCTTCCTAGCATTCCACATGTTATACTTTAGACCTTTATCACAAGCAAATATAGTAAAATTACAAGTGGATGGTTAGAAGCACTCGGACTCAACCAATTCATAATACAGCAGCAATGAAATACAATCATCGTCTGTGTATCTAAAGGCCCTTCGCTTATTTCTAGGATGTGACAAGTCCAGGACATCAGAACAAAACATGTCTGGTCAAAGGAGTTAAAAAGTGAAGACAATCTGTATCAGACTCAATAACTCAATGTAGCAATACTGGTGGTGTTAATGATACCTAGCAACAGAACTTCTAAGGAATGTTGAGCAGATACTAGAAGTGATTTTAGGGTACAGTGTGTCTGAGTCAGTGAGCCTAGACATTTTCCACCAGACAGCATGTTCTTACCAGCATCTTTGTCTGGTGATTAAGGCAATACTGATGATTGAGTCCACCTTGCCCTCCAGCATCTGTGACATGCTTATTCACCTGATATGTGTCAGGAAAGCTATTCCTGTCTTGTTGATGCCCAAATCAGAGGTCCCTAATCCAACAGATGCTACCAACAACTCTTCTATATGAAACACTATGATTTCTACTTCCAACAACAGGGTGAGTGGGTTTCAGATGCTTTTCTAAGCGAAAAAATTAAATTTAGAGATTCGAGAAGAGAAGTATGTTAATGTGCTAGGGTTGAGAAATATTTCTCCTTTATACCCCTCTAAATTCAGCAAACATTTTGGTGGGTAGAGAATAAAAATATCATTTAATATAAGCACGAAGGGATACGTAAATGAATGTATGGCAGAACAGGGATTGGGGTATAACTACTTTTTGTGTGTGATATATGTGTATGTTTGTGTGTAGAGGTACATATGCACCTATGTAGGGGCAGGAGGTTGGCTTTGGGTGACTCCCATAATTAGTTCTCCATCTTATCTTTTGAGATAGTCTATCATTGAACTTGGAACTTCCTGATTATTCTAGATTTGAGAGAGATGATTAGTCTAGATTTGAGGGGCCAGTGAGACACAAGAGATGATACACAGCTTTAGTTGTGGAAGTGAGCCCATGTCTGCATCATATATACTTACAATAAGTACTAGCAATTAACTCTGTTCATGCAAGGAGATGGGGAAGCCAGTCATAAATGAAAACTAGGTGCACATCATGGTGTATGTACAAACAGAACAACCTGAAAATAATGAGCAGAAAACTATGGAATATAGCAAAGACAAACCAAGTCCCTTGGGATGTAAGCACTCTAAAGAACTAAAGCAAAGCCATTGTTAGAGCAGGGATGTGAGGAAGTGTACTAATTGGTTCTGTGTTAGGATTTGCCTTCTGCGTGGATTATGTTTCTCTTTCATTTTCCCACTAGACCCAGCTATTTGGCGAGGCTGCCCTGGGAGGGCTAGTTTTCCTCATGAGTTAATATTTAATATGCCTTTGTGGAATTTCATAATCCCTGAGATGTTATTTCACATACTCAAGAGGGAAAAATTCCTCCTCATTCTTGAACAGATTTATTTTAGGAAATGTGTTGTAATTCCACAAGAATCTTGAGGGGTCTTTTCAGAAATCATGATCATCTACGGTTTAGGGAGACATCTGGCTAAAATTTTGAGATGAAATGATGAAAATGACAATATACCATGAACTGAGCAAAAGCAAGCAAAAAACTATTCCGCTGACCTCCACAGCCTTTGGTAACAATCTGTAGAGGGGATTAGATTTATCCCTATAGGGCTATTCAGTTTTTCATATGGTTTTTCTTTTTGTGGTATTTTTTCCCGCAAGAGACCTTATTTTAATAGACAATGGCACTGCCCCTACCCTCCGCCATTCTCTGTAGCATCACAGCCTAGCCCACACTCCTCTTAGTCAAACTCCAAGTTCTGCCAAGTATCAGCACCTCTTCAACTTGCTATCCCAGGGTGAGGGCCATCAAAGTTTTCATTCATGCTATAAAAATTGGCAACCCCCAGTGGAGTCACACTTAATAAAATACCCGTTTTAAATGCCATTGTGAAAATGAAAATACCTACCTCTCTTGCAGAATCAGTTTGTTCTCCTTTTTCCAAGAGTCTTTAAAGTCAGAGCTGAATTCATGCCAGACACTGAAGAAAACATTTGGGGACACCTCCTTCTCTCCAAGTTTTGGTTTCATGAAGTAGTAGGCTGTGGTCTCCAAAAAGCTGTCAAAGCATACACACACATGAACATAAAAGTTATGATTACTTTCCAATATGGGATATTCCTTCTCCATCCAAATGCTGATTTCATTCATGCACAATTGTTATTACCGAAAGATTCTAACTCTCCATGCACCAATAGTAATTTCTAATATGGGATATTTCAAATATGGACTATTTCAATTATGGTATATCTAACTCTTTGGGCACCAACATTAGTTCTTAGTGGTTCTATAATAGAGTTTTCATTGAAGATAAGAGTAGTGAACAAAAATTTTCTGAATACTGATAACTACCACTAGGCAAATTCAATTTCCAATGAGTCACATGACATATTTCAGGGATGAACTGCGGTCAACATGGGGATGTCTTGGGAAGTAGTGATCCTAAGCTTGCTTATTACATATAGCATTTGATTTTCACTAACTTAATATGTATTCTGTGTCCACATAATTCCACATGTATGCAACCCACATTCTTGTGTTCATAGGTTGGGAGTGTGGGGGTGGGTGTAGGAGAAGACCTGGGAGACACAAATAAAGCCTGCTATCTAGACAACAAGGTGGCAGTCAGCACACAGTGGACACAGAAGTAGTAGGCAGATCAGGCCCAGTTCTCCGCTGCTGTGACTCAGAAGGCTTAATTGTATTGTGGCAACATGAAGGCTCAAGTCTCAAATGGGTCGTTCAACAAAGAACACACAACTAGTAAATAATAGGCTTAAAACTCGACAAAAAGCCTCTCCATGCCATGAGAACAGTTCCCTAAACAGGAGCCTGGCCAATAGGTTATAACACTGAGGGAAGTTGGGTAGCAGGTCACAGAATGTCACAGAGGGTCAGAGGTGCAACACAAGGAGTGGTGTGTAAATAAACCTCATCTTTGTTTTCATTTTGACCCATGGCCAGTACCATTTCTGCTTATAGACATCAAGCTTGACTTATGCTTAAATAAAAATTTGTAAGGCAACCTAATTTATCCAAATTATTAAAAAATTTGAACAAATAAATACAGGAATATACATATGTATATATATGTGTGTGTGTGTGTGTATATGTGTGCATATACATGAATATGCATTCAACTTACCATGTAGCAGATTTAAAATTTCTGCTATGAAGTAATGTGGACATTTAAAAGATGAGGCCTTTATGGTGAGTTTGCTCAGAAGGTTGTTCAATGATGATTGAACAGCAAACACAAAAATAAAACCCAGAACCACAGAGTGATGGTATTGTAATCAACAAAGCTTACCTGAGCTTAGATCATTGTTATTTGAAAACGTTACCAGTACCCACCCACCATAACTTGAAATGGAGACAGCATCGCTAGTTTTGCAGTCTCCTCAGAGACTGAAAATTGTTGGTTTAGCAGTAGGTAGCTGAAATATTGGGAAAAGAGCTCAGTCAGTAAAGTGCTCACTGTCTTAGCCTGAGGACGCAGCATCCATGTAATAAAGCTGTAGTGGTGGCTTACACTAGTAATGCTAGCAATAAGGAGATAGAGGCAGGAGAATCTTGAGGCTCTCCTTCCAACAATCCTAGTGGTTTTTATGAGTCCCAGTTGTGTAAGAGACAGTGTCTCAAAATAAAAAAGGGTAGAGAGCAATTGAGGAAAGCATTCCACATCGATCTCTGGGTCATACATGCATGTATATTCACAGACATACAAGAACACAGACACACAGGAACACAGAACACACACACATCCATACACATGCATCCTCCCAGAAGTTGGTGGCTGATGTAAGAAAATAACTCCGTGATAGAGAGAACCTCCCTACATCCTCAAAGCCCTAGGTTTCATCACCAGTACCACTAACAACAAAACACAAACAAAAACAGACAAAAGTTCATAGGTTATCTGTGACTATGAGTTAACTAATGTGGGGTGAATCTGTTCTGCTTTTAAATTTACAACATGGCTGACTCTGAGCAACAAGATGTTTAGGAATACTCGTGCTTGGCTTCCAGAAAGAGAAGGCAACAGTGTTTTGATTGTATGTGTGCCTCTGGTGCACTATGCTCCTCCATTGGCAGCCTAGTAAGGAGATGACACAATGTAATCTGCAAATCCTGTGAGGGGATGATGTGAAATGCAATTGATTGTGAGAGTTCACATGTTCCCTGCCACAGTGATGGTGTGGGAATGTGTCCACAGAATGGGCTGCAGCTGGCACAGTCGCAGTAAGTAGATGTAAGAGAGCAGAGAGTATAAATGGTGTAAGACACATCTAGTTCTTCTCAAAGCTAATGAAGTATATATAGACATGCTTGCTGGGAGAGCTGCTCACTTGTCTTTTGTTCCTGGAGAATCTTTGTGATCTATTACGTGTGATATATTTAGCCTATGCCTTGGATTATCTGACTGCTCATTTATTCTTTTGTTACAGAGGAGCCCAGTCTATGAAGCTATAATAACTCACCCGCTTACTCAGCTGTCTTGCAATATTTTGAAAGTTTTATCATAAAACAACATGGTATAAAGGTGAGGACATATGATTTAGAGTGAAAAGATGTGGAAAGATGGATTCCAGTTCTAACTTACCACATGGGAAAACTATTAATGACACTATTCTTAACGTTTTCATCAGCAAGAGAAAGATTTTAACAATTTTGTCACGTCATGAGGGAAAATGAATCTCCAATATGTCTGTTGAATATTTGCACACAAATAATGTTATATTATATGTTATACATTGGTATTACATATTAAATATAAATATATATATATACATATATACATATTAACATAAATATGAGCAACTCAAGAAAATCAGTAGCTCCACTAAATACAGATGATAAAAGTGCTGAGAAAGAAAGCAGAGAAACATCACACTTTAGAATTGCCACAAACAACATAAAATACCTTGGGGTAACGCTAAATAAACAAGTGAAAGACCTGTATCCCAAGAACTCTGAGTCTTTAAAGAAGAAAAATAAAGAAGACACCAGAAAATGGAAAGATTTCCCATGCTCTTGGATAGGTAGGATGAATGCAGTAAAAATGGCAATCCTGCCAAAAGCAATCTACAGATTCAATGTAATCCCCATTAAAATCCCAGCACAATTCTTCACAGACCTTGAAAGAACAATAATCAATCTTGTATAGAAAAACAAAAGACCCAGGATAGCCAAAACAACCCTACTCAACAAAGCAACATCTGGAGGCATCACCATCCCTGACTTCAAGCTCTATTATAGAGCTGTAGTCCTGAAAAGAGCTTGGTATTGGCACAAAAATAGACAGATAGACCAATGGAATTGAATTGAACACCCTGATATTAACCCACACATGTATGAACATCTGATCTTTGACAAAGAAGCTAAAAATATTCAAAGGAAAAAAGAAAGCATCTTCAACAAATGGTGCCTGCATAACTGGATGCTGGCATGTAGAAGAATGCGGATAGATCCATGTCTATCGCTATGCACAAAACTTAAGTCCAAATGGATCAAAGACCTCAATATAAATCCAGCCACACTGAACCTCTTAGAAGAGAAAGTGGGTGGTACCCTTGAAAGAACTGGTACAGGAGACTGCTTCCTGAACATAACACCAGTAGCACAGACACTGAAGTCAACAATTAATACATAGGACCTCCTGAAACTGAGAAGCTTCCATAAGGCAAAGGACACAGTCAACAAGACAAAAAGGCACCCCACAGAATGGGAAAAGATATTCACAAACCCCACATCTGAAAGAGGGCTGATCTCCAAAATTTAATGAACTCAAGAAGCAAGTCTCCAAAATATCAAAGGATCCAATTAAAAAGTAGGCTATGGAACTACATAGAGAATTCTCAACAGAGGAGTCTAAAATGGATGAGAGGCACTTGAGAAAGTGCTCAACATCCTTAGCCATCCGGGAAATGCAAATCAAAACAACTCTGAGATACCATCTCACTCCTGTCAGAATGGCTAAAATCAAAAACACCAACAACAATTTATGCTGGAGAGGATGTGGTGAAAGGGGGACACTCCTCCATTGCTGGTGGGAGTGCCAACTGGTTCAGCCACTTTGGAAATCAGTATGGAGATTCCTCAGAAAAATGGGAATAAACCTACCACAAGACCCTGCAATTCCACTCTTAGGCATATATCCAAAAGATACACATTCATACAACAAGGACATCTGTTACACTATGTTCATAAGCAGCATTGTTTGTAATACTCGGAACTTGGAAGCCACCTAGATGCCCCTCAACTGAAGAGTAGATAGAGAAAATGTGGTACATTTACACAATGGATTGCTATTCAGCAGAAAAAAAACAATGGAATTCTGAAGTTTGCAGACAAATGGATGGCACTAGAAGAAACCATCTTAAGTGAGGTAACCCAGTCACAAAAAGACAAACATGGTATGTACTCTCTCATTTATGGATTTTTAGATATAGATCTGGGGAGTGCCAGCCTACAATCCCATGATCAGAGAGTCTGGGAAAGAGAACCTTCATTCAGTGGCTGATGGAAGCAGAGGCAGACTCCCATAGTAAACACTGAGCTGAACTCACAGAACCCAGTGACAGAGAGGGAGGACTGATGAGCAAAGGGGTTAAGACTGGGCTGGTTTAACCCCCAGAAACAGCTGACCTGACAAGGGTTAGCTATTGAATCTCAGACTTATGGCTGGGAATGTAGCATGGGACTGATCAGGACCCCCTGAATGTGGGTGTCAGTGAAGAGGCCTAGGTAGTCTATTGGGTCTTGGGTAGTAGATCAGTATTTATCCCTGGCATACAAGTGAACTTTGGGTGCCCATACAACAATGAGAGATGCACTCTCACCCTGGACTCTTGGGGGGAGGGTTTAGGCCCTGCTCTGGATGAAATGACAGACTATGGATACCACCATGGAGGGCCTTACCCTCCCTGGGGAAGTGAGGGGGTCCTGGGGGGGGGGTTGATGGGAGGGCATGGGAGGAGGGGAGGGAAAGCGAGAGGGACCTGGGATTGACATGCCAAGCCACCTTGTTTCTAATTTAAATTTAAAAATAAAAATAAA